ACCAAGAAACCCCATCGAGTCACATTAACTCTCTTAAGTTGTCAATTTTCCAAGTTTTTCAGATGTTCCGAGTTAACAAGATCATTATTCGTTGGACCAAGTCTGAAATAGGATGGCTTGGTCCAAAGAATAATGATCTTGCTAACTCGGAACWTCGCGATCTTAAATGGATTAATTTTACATGAAGTGGGAATAAAAATTTATTTTTCTCACAACAGAGCGTATTATAATATAAATAATTATGAAAGAATATTTGAACACTTCAAAACTATTTTAACTATCTGGAAAGGCAGATCATTGACTCCTTTTGGGAAAATCCAGGTGGTTAATTCTTTAGGTCTTTCAAAGCTTTTATATGTATGCACCAAGATAGGAGCCGGTGAAGCATTTATTAAGAAAGTGAAAGATGAAACTGTAAACTTCACATGGAATGGAAAAAAACCTAAGATAAAATATAACACCTTGATAGGAGCACACGATGACGGAGGACTGAAACTGTTAGACTTTGGAAGCATGATTAAGGCAAGCATGGTTAAATGGGTTAAAAGGTTAATGGATGGAACTTACAAGTTTTGGAAAGTTTTATTCTAAAGCCCTTAGGGCCTGGGCTGAATTAAATTATACAAAGATAGACGATAATAATGTGGAAAGCATCCTGAAACAATCACTGTGGAATAACATTTTTATAAAGTTTACTTGTGATGTAAAGTGTTTGAAGCGTTGGCTGAATTGTAATATTAGACAGAAGATAATATAGGTAAGTTGTAGTGCTTGGGAACGAGGTTATTCCGGGCGAAAGCCCTTGGAATTAAATTCGGAAAAATTAATTTCCGACCTCGCTCTCATCTTTGTAATATTAGACATGTGAATGACATTGGAAACCAAATACTGGTTTTAGGTGGGAGGATGTGGTGGAAAAGGGTCTTTCAAACAAGGATTGGTTAACTTGGATGGGGATTATAAAGGCTTTACCAACGCCTTGGATTAAAACATTGCAAAGAAATATTCACTGTCCAATTGGGGCTCTTACTCTTACTAGAAAAATTAAAGTTTTAGAACTGTTTATCGACTTAGATAAAGTAAAAACTTGGCAAATATATTAAAGTATTATAAGTAAGAAATTGAACCTCCTACGGCTAGACGTAGGTGGCAATTAATTTTGCATGATAGAGACTGTTTCGATCACAGGTAGCCCCACCAGTAGGGGAAAAAATCCTTAAAACGGGCTAAATTCAAAAAATAACCACGCAGAGCGAAAGAAGTGCTATTTCTCAATGATAGGGTAAAATGTCGAGGCTTTATATCACGTTTTGATGATTTTATTGAAATTTTTGATGAATCCCCATACATTTCCTTATAACAGGACACCACAGAAACCAAGCTTGGGCTACCTGTGTTTCGATTGGAAAAAAGTATTTGCGACAGTTTACGCAACTACTATAGATATAAAACTTAGGTGGTTTCAATATAGGATTTTGACAAACTGTTTATACCTGTAAATAAGGACTTAGTTAAGTTTAACCTCAAAGAAGACCCTTTATTATATAAACTATAGTTGTTTACAAAGATTTCTACAACTGAGAAATTTCGTATTTCAACACGTGAAAATACGATAACTTTCACATGTAAAATCATAACCAATCAGTTTTCAGTATTCTGTGACGTCATTGCTCCCAAAGGCGCGGGAAAATCACAACGGTCGATAATTTTGTTAAAATTATCGAAAATTAAGTTCAATAACATGGCTGAAAGGTTTGTCACATATGATTTACAAGACGTCATAGATTTTATCGAGGAGGAAAATGCAAACACCAAAAAAAGACAAAGAACGACCTGTCGATCATTCAGTTATTTCTCACAACTGAGGAGACTCGACCGTTTGAAGAGATTTCCCCTTAAGAACTCGACTCGTATTTGTCCAGATTTTTGCTATCAGTCAGAAAGAAAAACGGTGAGGAATATGAACTTGATTTGGGTTWGTCGAATTGAACTTTGTATTTGGGATGTTTTCTACAATAAAATCAATCGTTTTGAAAAAAATACAGTGCTATGGTTTATATAATAAACAGAAAAATACATGGCCGCTTGGAGATATGGAAGTTATCTTTTCGTGTTCAAATTTGATATCTCACTCGTTCACTGCGCTCAATCGTGAGATATCAAATTGAACACTCGAAGATAATTTCCATATCTCCGCGCGACCATGTATTATTCTCTGTTTATGCTCCTTTTGTCATAAGCATGTGGAAACATATTTTTGTAACATGTGAAATTTCGTATAAACTTTATGACGACATTTCACTATAATAAAAGTATAATATTATACTACCTACTTCAAATTTGGCTTCACTAGTAATAGGACCCTGCTCATGTTTTGATTTTAATTAATTTTGTACTGCTCTTGTTCAAATCCTTTGTATATAGAACAAAACTTAAAGCAAGTTCGATCCTGTATTCAGTGGATTCAAAGCATACGTTCAATACTATGAATCGATTGAATATATATTGCTGTCAAANAAAATATAATTTCCTGGTAAAATGGTTTCGAGTTCAATTTGGAATTAATTTGCACGAGTTTGTTTTTCGAAAAGTCCGTAATTACGTGAGGCCGTAGGCCGAACGCAATTTGGGCTTTTTGAAAAACAAACGAGAAATATATGTTATTTACCGGCCAGGAGGTCCGGATAGGGAAAAACTGTGCCCGAGGTCATGAAAATACGGACCGAGGCCGTTAGGCCGAGGTCCGTTTTCAAGACCGAGCGCATAGTTTTTCCCTATCCGGACTGACTATAGGACGATAAATAACTTATTTATTTTTTTCCCGTATTTTTTTACTTGTTTTTGTAATCGTGCAACGTTGCTGTTATTATTTGAAAAACGTCAAAAAATTCTTCGCCTTTTGGCTTGTCTTGGTGTTTCCACGTGTTGATGAACGATGTTCACAGTGAATGAGCAGCCTTCAACTCTACCAATGGACGAACCAGGAAAAATACCATAGCCAAATGGTCCACCCTCTGATGACGAACTTGTGGATGTACTTGGMTTGGCATTGATATCTTCAGAGCAAGAAACTTCTGTTGTATTGGCAGCCATCATAGAGCTTGACTGTTTTCACCGACTGAAAGTCAATGACATTTCGCGCTGATAAGTCAACGAAGCTGTGCTGTAAGAATCAAGGCTCTTGAGATTCTTATGTCCACTCAGCTGGGCTACGTAGTTTGGTGGAACTCCAGCATCCATCAAGCGAGAAATGAACGTTTTCCTTACACTATGGTTGGACACATTTCCTTTCAACCCTACTCGTTTGCCAGCTTTCGAGAGAAGATTTCCAATCTTGTTTTTACCGAGCGGAGTTTTGCAATACCAAACATTTGAATTTGGCATTCGTTTATGCTTGATAGCCATGTAAAACGGAGATTCTGGATGAAGCATTTCTTGTGGTCTGTGGCTACGGAAGGCTTTGTAATATTTTACTGGGCAGTGCTCATTATCAGAGGCGTAAGCGTTTGGCTTGAATGCACGATTTCCTTCGCCCTGTCGTGTTTTTGAGCCTCTTTCTGTGCCCCAAGTTAAAACTTCCTTTCCGGTAGCGCTGTCAACATTCAGGGAAACACCTCCCCACTACAGTTTACGGCTTTCATCGCGAGCATGGAAACCAAAATGTAGAGATAGAAGCCACCATACAGTCCTTTGAAGAGACTCAGGATTTTGCTCGCCAACTCACCAGATGCAAACAAGGGGTCTTCTTCTTCATCTGTTGCATCACGGGCTGCTTGAGGAAGATTTCCCTTGGCTTTTACTTCAGCCAGTGGTTTCTTTTTAGACTTTAAAGCGTCTCTTGATATGGCAAATGCTTGATCTTTAAATATGTTGACTGTGGACTGCTTATCATTGAGGTATCTCTGAAGACKTCGATGGAAAGAGGTTAGTGTAGAGGGCTCGTACGCTTCGCCATCTTYCTTTTGTATCTCGATGAAGAAACGACAGATCAACAAATTTAGCTTTTGTGGAGGTATGTTTTCAACTTCTGTAGTTTCTCCCCACTCGGACAAGTATCTTCGCCACACATTTAGGTCATACTGCGTTTTCTTAATTGTATTTATTTATTATATTGGAAATGTAGATTTTAGTAAATAAGAAGAATGGGAACATTTGGTTGTGAGGGACGGGATATTACTGTAAAGTAGACTAGTGTAAATATATAGGGGTTGTTTTATATTTAAGAGCGGCTGTCCGTAAAAACCAGACAAATTCGAAATTTCGTGGCAACAGTCAAAAAATCGATTTTG